TAGTGAATTATGAAGTAATTTTCCTCACAAAATTACACTATCTTTAATTTAAATTATGTATTAGTCAGGGATCTTTAAAAAAAGTAACAGGAAACCAGGACTAATTGATACAAATAAAATGAAATTTATGAGAAATTATTGGGGAAAAATAATAACAGTTTCACTGGTAGTTCATTGTGCTTATCAGCTTTCTGTTATTGTAACAAAATACCTCAGACAGTCAGATTGTAAAAGGAAAGGTTTAACTTTTTTGTTCATAGTTTTGGAGGTTCCAGTCCAATGATCAACTGGCTCTTTGCTTTTGGTTTCGAAGTGAGGCAGGAACATGATGGAGCAAGCACATGGTGAAGCAACGTGCTCATCTCATGGTCAGGAACAAAAAGAGAGAGAAGTGAATGTGGGATCCCACAATCTCCTTTCAAGGGCCCTGCAACAAAATCTATGCCCTCTCACTATGCCCTCACCTGTAAATGTTTGCTCCTCTTCCCATTAGTTAAAGTGCTGGGGACCAGTCCTTTAACATAGGCCTTGAGACATTCCAGATACAAACAATAGCCTTCACAGAGACATTGGAAGAGTGGAGAACCAGACTACAAGCTGTTGTGTTGGAAAATGTGCTTCTGCTAAGCTTTTTGAAGTTAAGATCAGAGACGAGACCAATGGGCTAGAGATTGAAGATTCCAGATGCTGCAGTAGACATCCATCTTGTTTTATTGCCACCATCAGAATGAGTTTCCTTGTTGCTTTTTCTCAAATTAGGCTGAGGTTAAAGCCTTAATACTAAATATAGGGAAGGGACAACCTGAGTCTTGTAGCCTCATGAACATCTTTTTGGAGTGTTCCTTTATTGAGTGCTTCATAAAAAAGTGCTTACATAAAATATTGATCCACACAGATAAGAAGAACAAGTTGTATCATTTTCTGTGAGCAAAAGACAGAAATTTAAAAAATAAGCTTCCAACTGTCTGAAATAGAAAGAGGAAAGAGGAAGGTATTTATTCACTTCAGTTGCATCTTTGTGAAAAATGAGAAGCCCATCTTTCAACACACTAATGAAATAAATGTAGAGTCTTTTAACAGTACATTAGATAGGAAATACAGGGATCTTCAACAGTTAAAAAATTCTACTCATTCTTTTATAGGAAGTACATCAACCATATTTACCTTTTAACTTCTTTTACCCTTCTCTATATGTGACTCCACTTAGCATAACCTGTTTACATATATTGCTTATATTTGTTTAGGTCTTGTATTCCACATATGAGAGAAAAACATGTGGCCTTTGGCTTTCTGAACACGACTAACTTCACTTGTGATGAAATCTTTCTAGTCATTCATTTAAACTCCAGTGAAAAATTTGTTCTTCCTCATAGGTTGAGGTAAAATTCCATTGCATATAAATACTGATTTCTTTCTTTTGTCTTATTTCTCCTGTTTATTTGCTTGTTATTATCTTTACTTATATGTGTGCAATTGTTTTGTTCCACTCACCTTGCCTTTCCTGGGCAGAACTGTTCCACCCTTTCTCCCTTTTGTTGAAGAGAATAAGACATAAGAGATAATAAGAAAGACATATCATTTTTTGCTAGTTTGGATAAAGATAGTTTACAGAGAGATTCCTAGCATTGCTTCCATGCACCGTTGTGTATTACGACGCCACATTGGTTATCTCTAAGCAGACCTCTCCTCACTACTTCCTGTGTCCCCTTTCCCTTATGGCCTCGTGCCAATGATCTTGGCATAGCATCAGGCTGTTTCCATAGTTGGTGTTGTGAATAATTCGCTGCAATAAACATGGGTGTTTAGGTGCCTTTATTGTACCTTGACTCAATTCCTCTTTGGTTATATCCCAAAGAGTGATAATTACTGGATATATGGCATTTTTTGTATTTTATGGTTTTTGATGGAGCCTCCATACTGTTTTTCATAGTGGTTGTCCTAATTTAATAGTCTCACCACCAGTGTATGTGGTTCCTTTTCCCCACATCCTTGCCACATTTGTTCTTTGTGTTCTTGCTGATAACCATTTAACAGGAAGTCAGGTGGATTTTAACATGGTTTTGATTTACATTTTGAAAAATTCTCTGTTTTGTGATTGACTCTTTTTTCCCTTGCTCTGGTGGGGATACGTTGTGGCATTTACAAAAGCTCTACAATATACAAGTATATCAAACTCACTTTGCAGCACATCTGCTAAAAATTGGAACAATACAGGTGAGATGAGCTTGGTCCCAGAGCAAGGATGGCATGTAAACTTTGTGAAGCATTCCATATTTTTTAAAAAAAATGTCTGAAAGCATATTCTTAAAGGAAGAATTCTCTTGAGAACTTCAGAAGATGAAACAAGGCACATTTTTTCATTTTTAAATGATCATAGAAAAAATCCTCTCCATATCTTCTCCTTGTTATTGGTTTGAAAAGCCACAGTCATAATTTCTGAGTTTAAATGTACATTTTTGTGTAGAATAACAAGATTAACATCCTTTCATATCATAGGGTAAATTGAATATGACTGAGCTTCTCCTAGGCCTTCAACCAAGATGGTCACTGAGGAAAAGGTGTTGGTCAGAGCTGGGAAGGGACGTTAATTTCAGACTTCCTGTTTCCAAAACTGTGAAAGAAGTAATCTGTGTTGCTTTCAGCCAACACATTTTTGGTCTTGTTTTAGAATACTTGAAGAATCTACTTTACAAACCATATATTGTGGAAACTTGATTTTTGGGAAAATGAGTAACTAAGGATTCTTTTTTGGCTTTGGCATTTTATTACAATTTTCTTCCTTTTGATGACTATGAGTAACTGAATTTTATACTGTGATGAGGACTAATGCCCAATGTGATGTCATTTGGAGATAGATCTTTTTGGAAATAATTAGGTTTCAATGAGGTCATAAGAATGAAGTCCTTGTTTTGGGATTGATGCCCTCATAAGAAGCACTTCCCCAAAGTCCCCGCTTACTGGTCTCCATGAGAGGACGAGCAAGAAGCTGAGTGTGTATCCTCAGGGAGCACCTTCACCAGAGCTTAGTCATGCTGTCCCCAACTCATGTCTTCTTTTATTATAAAAACAAGACTTTATGAAGTCTATTTTATTCTCTACCAGTGTAATATGAACAAGCAGTAGTTCATAAAATGAAAGAAAGAAGATAGAACTCATCAGAGCAGTCATGAAGTAAAATCATAAAATTTTTGTTAAACCTTTGTTAGGTCTAGAGTATATGACAACTCACTAGAAAGTGATTTGGGCACATTCACTCATCTTTCATTTTCTTGGCCTTGGAAATTGGGAATGCCATCAAATCACACACTGTTTCACTTTCTCATATTATGTTATCCTAGCAGTTCACAGGTGATATTTGAGTCCAGTTATTAGAATTTATTTTACTTTTTTGAAGTTGAAGCTATAATTTTACAAAACTATCTATTCAAAGCAAAATAAAAGGGGATATCATTTTGATTAAATGGAAAAATCAAAATATGTATTTGGTTGTCAATAATATTCCTGACTCTGTGTTAGGTTTCAAGATCAGTTAAATAATTTCTTTTGGATAAGAAATACCCTGTGCTGTCAATAATATCCAACTGTCTTATGATACTTTTTTATTATTCTGTACTTTGTATACAATATCAAGCTTATAACTTATGTTTCAAATATGTTTTCATAATTCTGGAAACTGATGTCTTTGCTCTTTGTTTTTACTATTGTTTTTCATTCATACTCAAATTATCTTTTTTGTTCTTAGATCTCTGTCTTAGTGATATTGCACCTTTGAAAAATTATATGAAAGATAAGGTGAAATTGACCAAGATACATTGTAAGCACTTTTGTAAAGGTTACAATGAACCCCCATAAATGATAATAAAAATCAATAAATAAGTAAAGAAAAAATATTTGTAAGGTTTTGAAGAGTTAGAATGTTCACACCCTTCTATAGAGAGGTTTTCACCTAATAAGTAAGGCTAAACCAATTTGAAGTTCACAAGTTCTGGAATGTGTTTCCAGGATAAAAATTCTTGGCAGTGTTGCTTTTGGCCATTACTTACCAAAGTAACTGTCTTTCTTTCTTTCTTTTTTTTTTCCTGTCCATTTTCCAATTAATTTAGAGTAGCTTTTTAGTTATTATAGGTGTGGTTTAGAAAGATTCCAGTTTCTCTTTGCTTCATAGTTACTTTGAGATTAGAGCCCCTTTGACCATAGGCTTAAATTACAGTCACAAGATTCTTCCCAGAGTGAATTCCAGGCCTGTCTTTGTCCATGCATATCCTAGAAACAGAGGCTCAAATGTTTGCAGTGTTTTTCATTGGTTTCATAGTAAGTGTGGTTTCAGAACTGTGACAGTTTTTGGTCATAGATAAAAAAAAGGATTCAAAGTAGTTGTTACTTTCTTTTTGTCTTTTCCCTTTTTTTTTGCCCTTTTCCTCCTTGTACCTCCCTCAGTCCAGTTTTCTCTTCTGTTTGTTCCTTCTTGCTTCTGTCCTCTCCCTTCCTCTTCATTTTTCTTTATTTTGTTGTTATTTTTCTAGCATGTTTTATTATTTCATCAGTATTGTTGATGTGAGGTCCTTAGCCTACCATTTTTGTAAAACCCAATCTGTTTAGACATATTTTTTATTTTAAAGTTCTATCCCTCTCCACACCTTCATTATTGTGTTTGTTTTTTGAGACATAATCTCACTCTGTATCCCAGGGTGGCCTCAACCAGGCTTAGCTTTAGCTTCCTCCCTCAGCCTCCTAAAGCCCTTTTTTAGATCATCTAGTGGTTTGTGGTTTAGAACTTCTAAGTTGACTGAGAGCTTCTAAGTAGACTTCTATGTCTTTTCAAGTGACACAATTACCCCTTTGGTGATGATATTTTTGGCTCTTCATTTACATTAGGTACTTTTATTCAAGCATTTTACTTCCTTATTTTCTGATTGCTTTGCATAGCCCCTCAGGTCCAGTTCAGCTGCTCAGAATTTATAAACGTGGCCTTTGTAGTGAGGACTGAGCTGCATCAAGCAGGCAGGGGCAGCAAGATGGTGTCACAGACCCAGGTCCTCATGTCCCTGTTGCTCTGGGTGTCTGGTGAGAAATTTAATCAGTGCTCAATTTCTTCAGAGTAATATCTTTGTAGAATTGAAAAAATGTTTTTAAGATGCAGTGGGAAATAATGACTGTCTTCAAAATGGACTAAATATTGTGCTGTGTTATAATACCATTAGAAAATGCATTTAAATGCCACATTTCAGTGTGTATATGATAAAATCCATGTGTGTATATGTGTGTGATCATTGTTCATTCCCAATTGCAGGTGCCTATGGGGACATCGTGATGACCCAGTCTCCAGGCTCCCTGGCTGCATCTGCAGGAGAGACGGTCACCATCAACTGCAAGTCCAGTCAGAGCATTAGCAGCTACTTAGCTTGGCACCAGCAGAAACAAGGACAGCCTCATAGACTGCTGATCTATGCAGCCTCTAACCGGGCAACTGGGGTCCCTGACCGCTTCAGTGGCAGTGGGTCTGGCACAGATTTCACTCTCACCATCAGCAGCCTCCAGGCTGAAGATGTGGCAGATTACTACTGTCAGCAGTATTATAGCTCTCCACCCACAGTGCTTCAGTCTTAATCAAAAACCTCCTTCCTATGCCCTGGGTCAGTGATCCTTGCTGTACCAGCTACTTCCTCCTCACATTTGTGGTTTGGACTGATTGCTTAGCAAGTGTGAGGCCTGTAGTTCAATCCCCAGTACTGCCAAATGTGAAAAATCCACTATATGCTAATGAAATAAATTGAAGAAGATACAAATAAATGGAAAGATATCACATGGTTTTGGGCTGAAAGTATTAACATTGCTATATGTTTATGCTTCTAAGAATAACATACACATTCAATACAATACCTCTCAAAATGTCAAAGATATTTTCACAGAAATGGAAAAAGTTATTCTTTTTAAGGTATTTTTATTTGCATATGTTAGTTGTATAGGGAGTCCCATTGTGACATTCCCATATATGCTTACAATGTACCTCAGTTAGGTTAACCTCCACCATCATTCTCCTTCATACTCCTCTCTCCTAGTTGAAATGATTTTGACAGGTTTCAGTGTTCCATCTTCATACACTGATATAAGGTACATTGACAATATTCACCATTCTTTACTCTCTCCATTAGTCCTTCCCCTACTTCTAGAACCTTCCCCCTAGTAGGATCTGCTTTACATTCCTGTCCTTCATTGCTTAAGTGTGTGTTCATTGATCAAAGGGGTTTAGTGATGGTACTTTACCTGCAAATATTTGTGCTTTAATTAATTTAACTCTCTCTATTATATTTCTTACCCTTTAACTCCTTCCTGCTATTATTCAACAGCTAGAAAAAGTAATTTTAAAATTCACATGGAACCACAGAAGATTTCAAAGAGTCAAAGCAGTATTGAGAAGGAGGATCAAAGCTGAAAGCATCACACTACCAGGGTTTTCTTTACTGTGGCAAGCACCTGATTCTAATAACTTAAAAGGGAAAGATTTGTTTGGCTTATAGTTTCAGAGGTTTCACTCCATGGTCATCTAGTTCCATTGCTCTTAGGTCTGTGGCAATGTAGAAGAATCATGGTGGAAGGGTGTGTCAGAGGAAAGCTTCTCATTTCATGGCTGCTGGGAAGCAGAGAGAGCCAGGAAGATGCCAGGGACAGTACAACTCTTCAAAGTTCCCCTTTTTGTGATGCACCTTCTCCAACCAGCCTCCCCCTTGATTTATACTACCTCCCAATAAGGCCACCAATTTAAGAATCTGCCAATGGACTAAACTATTAATTAGGTCAGAGCTCTCATGACCCAGTCACCTACCAACTGGGGACCAAGTCTTCAACACATAATTCCTTTGCGGAACAATTCATACCAAAACCATGGCATCAAGTAAATATCTAGTGGTCTGACACCCAGAAATTTGTCTCTACTTAGGATACATGTAGACTTTCAACAACAGGAATAGTCAGTGTAAATTTTAAAATAAATGAAACACCCCACTGTTTCTTAGAATACAATAACAATTTGAAATATTTAATGAAGCTGCACATCAAAAGGAACATGTATTATGAATCTCAAACATCAGATCTGTTTGCGATATTGTCAGCTCTCTCCTGTCCCTTAAAGAGCACCTTGCCTAGAATTCCTTCAATTGTTGTTGAAACTGACAATGAAGATAGAATGGACAGACCATGACCTTCTTCAAATCTGATATGTTGGAGCCAGACGTGTCATCCTAGCTGAGTAGGCTGACCCAGGCCAGCCTAGGTAAAACCATAAACCCCCCTTTCTTTCTTTTATTCATATGTGCATACAATGTTTGGGTCATTTCTCCCCCTAACCCACCCCCCTAACATCGACCTTCCCCCCACACCCACCATCTCCTCCATACCCCCCTCGGTACTAGGCAGAAACTATTTTGCCCTTATCTCTAATTTTGTTGAAGAGAGAGTATAAGCAATAATAGGAAGGACCAAGGGGTTTTGCTAGTTGAGATAAGGATAGCTATACAGGGAGGTGACTCGCATTGATTTCCTGTGCATGTGTGTTACCTTCTAAGTTAATTCTTCTCAAACTAACCTTTTCTCTAGTTCGTGGTCCCCTTCTCCTATTGGCCTCAGTTTCTTTTAAGTGTCTGCTTTATTTTCTCCACATTGAGGGCAAAAAATGCTATCTAGTTTTGTGGGTGTCTTACCTATTCTCATACCTCCCTTGTTTGCTCTTGCTTTATTGTGTGATCAGAGTCCAGTCCCCTTGTTTACCCTTGATCTAATGTCTGCATATGAGGGAGAACATACGATTTATGGTCTTTTGGGCCAGGCCAACCTCTCTCAGAATGATGTTCTCCAGTTCCATCCATTTACTTGCTAATGATAAGATTTCATTCTTTTTCATGGCTGCATAAAATTCCATTGTGTATAAATATCACATTTTCTTAATCCATTTGTCATTTTGGGGCATCTTGGTTGTTTCCATAACTTAGCTATTGTGAATAGTGCTGCAATAAGCATGGGTGTGCAAGTGCCTCTGGAGTAACCTGTGTCACAGTCTTTTGGGTATATCCCCAAGAGTGGTATTGCTGGATCAAATGGTAGATCAATGTTTAGATTTTTAAGAAGCCTCCAGATTTTTATCCAGAGTGGTTGTACTAGTTTGCATTCCCACCAGCAGTGTAAAAGGGTTCCTTTTTCCCCACATTCTCGCCAACACCTGTTGTTAGTGGTGTTGCTAATGATGGCTATTCTAAGAGGAGTGAGGTGGAATATTTGGTTTGAATTTGCATTTCCTTTATGGGTAGAGATGGTGAGCATTTTTTCATGTGTTTTTTGCCATTTGAATTTCTTCTTTTGAGAAAGTTCTGTTTAGTTCACTTGCCCATTTCTTTATTGGTTCATTAGTTTTGGGAGAATTTAGTTTTTTAAGTTCCCTATATATTCTGGTTATCAGTCCTTTGTCTGATGTATAGTTGGCAAATATTTTCTCCCACTCTGTGGGTGTTCTCTTCAGTTTAGAGACCATTTCTTTTGATGAACAGAAGCTTTTTAGTTTTATGAGGTCCCATTTATCTATGCTATCTCTTAGTTGCTGTGCTGCTGGGGTTTCATTGAGAAAGTTCTTACCTATACCTACTAACTCCAGAGTATTTCCTACTCTTTCCTGTATCAACTTTAGAGTTTGTGGTCTGATATTAAGATCCTTGATCCATTTTGAGTTAATCTTGGTATAGGGTGATATACATGGATCTAGTTTCAGTTTTTTGCAGACTGCTAACCAGTTTTCCCAGCAGTTTTTGTTGAAGAGGCTGCTATTTCTCCATCGTATATTTTTAGCTCCTTTGTCAAAGACAAGTTGGTTATAGTTGTGTGGCTTCATATCTGGGTCCTCTATTCTGTTCCACTGGTCTTCATGTCTGTTTTTGTGCCAGTACCATGCTGTTTTTATTGTTATTGCTTTGTAATATAGTTTGAAGTCAGGTATTGTGATACCTCCTGCATTGTTCTTTTGACTGAGTATTGCCTTGGCTATTCGTGGCCTCTTGTGTTTCCATATAAATTTAGTGGTGATTTTTCAATCTCTTTATGAATGTCATTGGAATTTTGATGGGAATTGCATTAAACATGTAGATTACTTTTGGGAGTATAGACATTTTTACTATGTTGATTCTACCAATCCATGAGCATGGGAGATCTCTCCACTTTCTATAGTCTTCCTCAATCTCTTTCTTTAGAGGTTTATAATTTTCCTTGCAGAGGTCATTCACATCCATTGTTAAGTTTACACCTAGGTATTTGATTTTTTTTTTGAGGCTATTGTAAATGGAATTGTTTTCATATATTCTTTCTCAGTTTGTTCATTATTAGTGTTCAGAAATGCTAATGATTTTTCTATGTTGATTTTATATCCTTCTACCTTGCTATAGCTGTTGATGCTGTCTAGGAGCTTTTGAGTAGAGTTTTTTGGGTCTTTAAGGTATAGGATCATATCTTCTGCTAATAGGGATATTTTGACAGTTTCTTTACCTATTTGTATTCCTTTTATTCCTTCTTCTTGCCTAATTGCTCTGGCTAGGAATTCCAGTACTATGTTGAATAGGAGTGGAGATAGTGGGCATCCTTGTCTAGTTCCCGATTTTAGAGGGAATGGTTTCAGTTTTTCTCCATTAAGTATAATGCTGGCTGTAGGTTTGTCATATATAGCTTTTATAATGGCGAGTCACTTTCCTTCTATTCCTAGTTTTCTTAGAGGTTTTATCATGAAATGGTGTTGGATCTTATCAAAGGCTTTTTCTGTATCTATTGAGATGATCAGGTGGTTTTTGTCTTTGCTTCTGTTAATGTGGTGTATTACATTTATTGATTTTTGTGTGTTTAAGCACCTCTGCATTCCTGGGATGAAACCTACTTGGTCGTCGTGAATGATCTTTTTGTTGTGTTGTTGAATTCGGCTTGTCATTATTTTATTAAGTATTTTTGCATCAGTGTTCATTAAGGAGATTGGCCTATAGTTCCCCTTTTTGGAGGTGTCTTTGCCTGTTTTTGGGTAAGTGTAATACTGGCTTCATAAAATGTGTTAGGCAGTTTTCCTTCCCTTTCTATTTTGTGGAACAGTTTAAGGAGGGTTGGTATTAGTCCTTCTTTCAATGTCTGATAGAATCCAGCAGAGAATCCATCAGGTCCTAGACTTTTCTGTTTTGAGAGACTCTTGATTGCTGCTTCAATTTCATTTTGTGTTATAGATCTATTCAGGTGATTAATGTCCTCTTTGTTCAATTTTGGATGATTGTAAGTATCTAGAAATCTGTCCATTTCTTTAAGATTTTCAAGTTTATTTGAATGTAGTTCTCAAAATAGTCTCTGATGATTTCCTGGACTTGCATGGTGTTTGTTGTTATCTCGCCTTTTGCATTCCTGATTTTACTGATGTAGGATTTTTCTCTCATTTTAGTCAGGTTTGCCAGGGGTCTATCAATCTTGTTTATTTTTCCAAGAACCGACTTTTTGTTTCATTAATTCTTTGTATGGTGTTTTTTATTTCTCTTTCATTGATTTCAGCTCTTATTTTTATTATTTCTCTCCTTCTATTTGTTTTGGGGTTTGTTTGTTCTTGTTTTTCTAGGAGTTGGAGGTGTTTCATTAGGTCATTGATTTGAGATGTTTCATTCTTTTTAATATATGCAGTCATGGCTATAAACTTTC